TTTTTACTATTATCTATTATTATTATGATTATTATTATATTGAAAGGAATAAAAACTTGTAATCTTGTTTCCCGAAATGGTTAAATAGTATGAATAAGCGAGATCGTACAAGTTGTTGCCGTTGTCCTTTCAAACACTTTCCCGCCAATCTTCGCTCCATAGATTGCGCCACTGTCCTTCGCGTCCTCTCCCTTACGATTAGACAATACGCTAGGGAAATAACTGACTATAGTTTTCTAAGGAATTTTAAAACATTTATCGTAGTATTTAAAAAAAAAGAAGAAGAAGAAAGTAAAAGAATTGAAAAATAATATATATATATATATATAGAAACATGATACATACGCTTACGTTGAAGAGAGCACAATATTTAAACACTATTTTTCAAACTTGATCATTCAGTACTTCCGGTACCGTAGATTTAACCAGCGCGAAACATGTAGTCTATGCACCGAGAAATGTTATATTTAAAATATCTCGCATTTAAAATAGTGTCTGTGTATGTTAAGTCAATGATAAATTGTTCAAAGAATCATTAAATCTTAAGTGACACAGTGTAGTTCGCGAATTTAAAAAATTTTTTGTGAAGGAGTTCGACTGTCAGGCATCAGCCTCATTTCGATTGCATTTTGCATTGTTAGCTTCGACACAATCTGTTTAACCGTCGCAAAATTTGATATAGTTATACGAGCGTAAATGTCATTTTGTAGATAGTGAAATAGTGAGTTAAAGTCGTTAAAATTCAAGTTTGAATTCAAATTTGGACTGGCGCGATGGATGGAATTTCAAGAGAACATCAAACGCTATACCGACCATGAATCATCGAATTATGTAAATACATACTTTCCTAATTACCACTTAATGTTTCTTATTTCAATAACGAACACCGGTACATATATTATAAGCAGTTAATTGATCCAGTCGATATTTCGTTTCACTGCATCTTTTGCTAGTACCATCTGTGTTTGAAAAATATGATACAATAAAAAGACTATAATTGAAATTTATTCGACATGCTTAAATCCTTTGTCTGGACGTTCTATTTCGAAACGTTTTCAGGGAATTGCCGTTCGACAAAAGACAAAGTATAGAAAATCAATCTTTTATTTTATGATGTAACAAAAGTTTTCTTTCCTCTGTTTTTCTGATTCTTCTCTTACGGAAATCTGAAGTAAAGATATTTAAGCGCGAACGAAACTTCGTTTACAATATTACGGAAGCATGTTTGTCTCCATGTAAACGGCTTCTTTGGTATATCAAAATTACATTATCAGTTTAAGTTTCTCTTTAGCTTTCTATATGATATATGCAATATATATAATACAGTAATACTTAAAGGAAAGGTCAGCTTATCATACAGCATGTTTTAGATCGTGACAAAACGAAAGCCAGTTAAAATTAAAGTTACAATTTGAACTATACAAACAAATATGAAGGAAATGTTACTTCTATCTTTTCAGGATCACGTGGAAAAAATACATTATCGCGGTGATTAATCGAATATGAGCTTTGACTAACAAAACAAAAAGATTAAAAATTAACACAACGTTCTTACGAAAGAATTTAAATACTTTTAGTTTAAAAATAATGCAGAAAATTCGAATTTTTAAATAATGTAAATTATCTTACAGTAAATATCACACAATACTCTGTTGGAGAAAGAAAACTGTACATTATGTTTTACTCTTTTCCTGTGCAAGGAACAATTGTCTGTGTTTTTTAAAATAAGAATTCCAAAAGTCTGAATCATGCGTGTTAAATAACCCATTGATTTGTTCTATGGTTCGATCATGCAATAGTACAGATGGAGTCCATTTTAACGTGTTTTGAACCACTTCATCAAATTTGTGCCTTGATAAACTTAATAATGCCGAGATAACGCCTTCTTTTTGCTCATCCGATCCTAATTGGAAATATCAATTGTTTATTAACAACTACACATAAAACATAATGATATAGGTATACCTTCATTAGAATTGATTAGATCGCGTAGTTGTTCTGCAATTTCACCAACTGAATTATCCTTATCTTCTACTGGAAATACACGTAGCAAATTGCCTGTAATTTCAAGCGATGGAAGTTATAATTTACCAATTTAAATAAAGTGTAAAATTAATTAAGTATAAAAAAAATTTACCTAATAAAGAAAACGCTCGATACGCGCTCGGTACTTTATTGTTAATTATCATCGATAACAATGCACCCCTAATAATATTCTTATACGTCCATGCGGTTCCTTCTCTTTTTGCAAGAAGTATAATAGCAGCCTCTACTTCACTGTCACACCTTTCTACAAATTGGTCAAATTATATTTAAACAATATGCTCAACTATTAAGAATTATTCTTACTTACCTTGAAGTGCAACCAACAGCTCTTGGAGGATATCTATAGATAATGTTCCCACTGGATATTTGTAGAATAATGATATTAAATTCTTCAAGGCCTGAAGTTTGGGATAGTCCGTACCTTGTTGCGTCAAAATTAAATGTGCCATGCATTTCGGCAATAATTCTATACGTAATAGACGATTACAAGATTGAAATACAAATTAAATTTTGAAATTAACAAATTATACATACTATTAACACTTGTTTCGTTATTCGGGAAAACTTCTGGCCAGGAAGTGAGTACTGTGAATAAAATAAGTATCGCGTGAAGTCCCAAACAATACAAAGCATCGCAACAGAATATCCTTACTTTTTCTCGGTCTTTTTTAATTCTTGCTAAAATCGTATACATTCTAGCAAGAGATTCTACCACACATCTCTAAAATCAACTTACTATTAATTGCGCTATTAATTCACTTTGCATTGCATACCAAAATAATGAGAAAACGCCAAACCTCTATCGTTTGATTGAGTTTAAAAAGTTTGTACGTTATACCAGCCTGCACAAATTGAAATACCATGGGTTTTGATTTTTCTAAGTCAATTAATAATGGTGCTATTCTTTGTTGTGCTTTTGTCATTAATGGTGCAGGTGGTGTATAACTGTTATCTAAAGTTTTATTATATTCCTGCTCTGTGCTTAAGAATTCTATAATTCCTCTGGAATCATTCGTTATATATTAGTAATTAATTATGTTAAAAATTAATACTATATACTATAAAATAAATACTGACTTTGCTATGACACGATCATTACAAGTGGATTTCAATTTTTCAATTACATCCCAGTGTGTGGAATTCTGCCAATCGCTATTTATCAGCCTTTCCAATTGTTTGTTCACAAATTTATCTGAAATAAATAAAATTATTTTAGATGATTTAATATTATTTTAAAAATCAACTAACAGATATAATCTTACCCGCTATTTGACCAATATGCAAAAGTTTCTTTCTATCCTTTCTTTTATTTCTTGTCTTTGGATTTTTATTAATGTATTCCTGCAACATTTTAAATGGACAGTGTGATTCTAATTTTATAGCAGAATTTTCCTGCTTTGTGCAAACATTATTGTGTGTTATTTCTTCGGTATTTAAATTCCTTTCATTTATATTATTTATTTTTGAAGTAACAGTGGAAGACTTGTCATTGAAATTTAATAATTTTCGTTTGCTTATATCATCCGTTTTGCTAATTTCTCTTACATCTAAAGAGTTACTTTCATCTACTTGCTTGAAATGCTCGTTTGAATGTTTATTTGAATCAGTCTTTGTCTCATCCAGTTCGGTTGTTTCATTTACAGGATTAATATTGGATACAGAATCAGATTGATTATATTCATTCGTATTTGTTTCAAATGTTGTGTTTATATTTTGTCTATGCGGTTTGTTTTCCGAATTACTTGATAAATTACTGGAAACTGGTAACTCATGAACAGGATTTTCTACAGCATTTTCAGTATTGTTAGAGTGTGAAAATATCAGATGAGGTTTTTCTATCTTATTGCTACAAATTTGATCTTTTGATTTATTCAAATCAACTTCGTTCGTGCTATTTTGTATTTTAAAATTATTTAATTTCATTTGTTTTACAATTGGATTTTTAGGTGTGTGCGCAATACGAGCTTTCTTTTTGGATATATAATCATCTTCTTTAACTACTTCAGGATTATTATCTTTTTGGTCTTCGGATATATTAGAATCTTCATGTTCGTCGTTAGATATATCCTGTTTTGGCATATTTTGACATGTTTTTACAATTTTACTGCTCTTTTTTAAATTTTTTATTTTTTTCAACAATTTCTGTCGGTTCTCGGATATTTTTAATTCGCTCTCGGATATTTTCCGTTTCTTCATAGAATTTGGGATATCAGAATTATTTGTCTCAATTTCAGCTTCTAGATTACTAGATGGTAATGTTTCTGACATATCTGCATGCTCTGTTTTTTCGGTTTGTTCGTCTAATTTTGATAATATATCTGAGGTAATTTTTTCTTCAATTATTAAATGTGATGCATGCGCTACTTTTGTCATGGATTTATTTATTTGTTTACTATGTCCACTAAAACATGGTTGATTTTCTATGGAAGAATTTGTTTTGATAGTATTTATGTGCTCTGTTAATTCTGAAGAAGTACACGTATTTTCTTTATGTTTCATCAATTTATTACGTTCACATTCGGATAATATTTCCGAATCACTTTCTATTGGCTTACTATGTTGAACAAAATTTCGTATTATTTCTACTTTAGTTTCATTTACATCCGTATCATTAGAATTCAAATATGGACTGAATCTTGTATGTGATACGGTTTGAGACTCTACACTGTCTTCAACATCATTAAGTTTATCAATGGATGAATCTGCTGATTCTACATTGTCTTCAGAATCATTAAACTTATCAATGGATGAATCTGCTGATTCTACATTGTCTTCAGGATCATTAAACTTACCAATGGATGAATCTGCTGATTCTACATTGTCTTCAGAATCATTAAACTTATCAATGGATGAATCTACTTCAAAATTACTGTTTAATTTTTCTGAATCTTCAATACCACTTAACGAATTATCAGATTCACCGAATAACGAATGTGCAAACTTATGCTTCTTAGGCTTTTTCTTAACAAAAGTCCGTTTATTTTCTACAACTGATTCAACTTTCCAAGATCCAATATGCGCATTTTGTAATCTCTTACGTTTTAAGCGAGATAATTTCTTTAATCTTTTATGTGCATTTAAATTCTTTCTTTCTTTTCTACCATAAGTACCCTTCATTTTCCTCCATAATTCATTAAAATTAGTTTGCATGGAATTATTTATGTCATGCATGTTGACATTTAGTTGATGTTTCTTACAACTGTTGTTTCGATTTGAGTTCTTTTTATTTAATTTTTTTTTCATTTTTTTCATTTTCGTTTCTAACGCACAAATTTTTTTCTGTAACGACGAAATAAGCGATATCGAAGATGTGGCCATAGTTATTAAATTCTCACAATTCTTATTCTCATTAATTGTATTCGAATTTATCATTGTTGAAGGATTAATTGTATTCGAATTTATCATTGATGAAGGATTAATTGGCGTTGAACAGATATGATTATTACCTTGATTTATTGAATTCGACGTTGAGGGAAAAGTGTTACAATTTGCATGATTTAATGGAATTGTATGGGGAGATAATGAATTTGTTGGAACAAACATTAAATGACTATTTTGATTTGATAAATGCTGTGATGGAGTATCTACCAATGTAGATGAAATTTTAGCTTTACATTGTTGTTCATTGTTTACATCTAAAAGCATACAAAATTGTTAAAATATATCTCATATAAAAAGACATTATATAAAACTATATATAATTCAATATCATACCTATTGATTCCTTTAACGTAGTAAGTTCTCTAGATGGAGACGAAATCTTTTCAATAAGTTTTGGACATGAATCGCTCACAATTTTACATATTTCGTTAAGAGGAGGTGGATCTAATACAATTTTGCACTTGTTACAAAATATAGGATATGGGTTATCTTTATTATCGTAAAATTCGAGAGTTAATACGGATCTATCTGTGACTTTTGGTTTTTGTATTACCATATCTTTAGTTAATGTTGTATTGATTCCAACATCCTTTAATTTTTCTTCTATAAATTAAATTATTTTGTATTAAATTTTAACAATTAATTATAATCTATTATAATCTATTAATTAAATCAACTCACTATTTTCAATTTCTATAGAGACTTTCTTTTCTATTTTTTTGATTTTTGTTTCATAGGATTTTTTTACATTTTTTAACTCTTGCTCCAATTCCTTGATTTTAACTATAAGATATAATATAAGATATAATAAAATTACTACATTGCACATAGTACAGTATCTAAATGTATTGTATAACATACCTTGTAGTGATGACTTTTCTAGATCATATTGGATTATTTTATTATTCTCATCTCCTTCTATATTCTTTATTTTACATATTAATTGTTGTATATGTTGATGATCGGCTGCTGTTTTAATATTAACTTCATTTATTTGTGCAGTCAGAGTTTCAATCTTTTTTTTGTATTCTGTATTTTGCTGAAAATTAAATATCAATAATTCGAAATTGAAAAATAGAAAGAATATTTTTTGGGATAAGTAATTTAAGTGATAGGTATTACTTTTACTTACAAGTTCTAATTTAATAACTTTCGCTAAAGTAGAATTATAATTACATGTTACTTCTTTCATTTGTTTATTTGATGTATCTAATTCTTGTTTTAACCGTTCACTTTCTTTCAGTTTATCATTATACTTTTTAATTAATTCACTGAAAATAAATATTTTGTTAATATTACGATTGATGGTGATCAATATTTATAAAAAGAACATGATTAATATGTTGATTAACTTACTGAGTCGCTGCAATTTTCTTTTTCAATAATCCATACGATTGTGTTAGCTGATTTACATGGGAAATATCTTCCTGAAATAAAATAGATAATAATATGTAATTATGATTTTTCAAAATTTGGTAATGGAGTAATAACTGAAAATTTTATTATTTTCATAAAATATTTAGTTAATAATCTTCAATATAATCTTATGTATGTCGTATTGGACTTATAGAATTTAAATTGAATTTTTATTAATTATTAATATCAAATATACACGTAACATAACCTCAAACTAACCTAAATAGTCGGCATTACTAAATATAATTTAAAGTAAAAGCTTCTGAGAAGAACATACTCACTTGAGTGGTTTTATTCACTGTCCAATTTAGAAAATCATTATCCATGTTAATTAAAATGACAATCAGTATTATTCGTTTTAAAATTGTTTATGTTTCTGACCGTCGACCAAGAAACACGGCGTTTATACGGCGTTCGCTTGGATGTTTACAGTTCCGTTATAGATTTAATATGAAATTACCAGTACGAAACATTCCGTTCGAAAATTGATTTTGAATAAGAATTCGTTTAAGGAGTTATTTTTGTGTGGTTTCCTATGCCCTCATAGTGCTTCTACAATAGTAGATATTAAATATTACAATATTACGTATTAGACATATTTTAATTTATCTTTTTTTCCAAGATACAAAATGATGATTTTTTAAGTAAATTTGAAAGTTGTTGCATTACAAATCTATTGTAGTTTATGCATTGTAATTCCATTCATTTGCTACCATGCTGTTCTCCCCTCTATTTTCATTCATCAGCGCGCTATGCAACTATGCAGTTATGCGCTACATAGATTTACTTCATTCGCGCAGCGACTGTTGTATAGATTTCGTGTACGTATGTAGTTCGTTGAAAGTAGCAAACATTTTGATAAAGATGGTGGAGACAGCGATGACCAGTTAGCAAAACAGTAAAGTACATTGCTCATGCGTAATGGAGTAATAGTGTATATTATAAACGTTTACGAAAATATTTTTATTGAAATTTATTGTAAATTTCTTGCAATAATTTGAAAATAAATTTGTAAATTTAATTTGATAGTATGTGCAAATAAAAAATTTGTCTTTCATTCCATCTATTCCAGTAAGTAAATATAAACATATTTTCAAATTTTTTTGGTTAATACTTGATAGTGTAATAATATACAAATGTAAGAGATTTATAAAAAATATGTACTGTAAAAAAATATGAATTTCAGAACCATTTATATGTGAGAAAATACATTTATCACATTTTATAGTTTTATTAAATAATTATGGGAAGCGAAGGAATAGAAATGAATCAGAGTTTAGCCCAGAGGCTTCTCTTTGAAGGTGCTACAATAGTTATGTTAGATGTACCTGTTGGCACGGAATTTGGGATTGATTTAAAATCATGGAATACAGCGGATAGGTTTAAAGGTGTTAAAATGATTCCACCAGGATTTCACTATGTTCATTATAGGTAGTTTTTTTACAGTTTTTTTTTTTTATTCGCATACATAATAATTACATATATATTCTTAAAGTGCTGTAGATGAATTTGGAGAAGCAACACCTAAAATTGGCTTTTTTCACACATTTAAAAAATCTGAATTTCTAGTGAAACGTTGGGATGCAAAGGAAGAAGATCTGAGTTCAGAAAGTATGATAACATTTAATGTACCTTAAATAACATTAAAAAATCTTTATTATTAATTGAATCTCTCTTTTTCATACAAAGTTGTAGAAGAAGAAATGGTCGAAAGATTAAAGAGTAATTTGAAAGATTTAGATAGATTTTTAGGATGTTACCCTTATGATATATGGAAACAGTGGAAGGAGTTAACAAATCATATTACTCCTCCACTTGTTGAACGTTGTTCACCTATATGTGGGTATGTTAACAAATTTTACAAATTAATAATTACTACTGCTATCTTAATTTTCTTGTTAATAGATTTGTCATTTCTCAGTTTTGTAAGGTCAGCATTAGAATTAGAATATTGCACTGATGCTGCAAGACCAAGAGGTGGAGAATCAAACCCTAAAAAAAGAAGGAGTGGAATTACTGTGGAGGAAAAAGAAGATGAGCTTCTTCCTGATATGAAACCTAAACCTGGTACAGAACTTCGACTTTCGAAAATACCTGATAAACAATATCCAGATGGAGCATCACCAACTGAGATTACGAAGCATTCTTTGGATACAAGTTATGCACTGGACACTATCCTTAAGCAATTGACACTGTAAGTAATTAGTTTGCTTCGGATTTTTATAATCAATTGTTAATAATATCTTTTCAGTCCTATGGAGATAATTGGAGAAATCCAGTTAGCATTTGTCTGTTTTCTTGTTGGACAAAGTCTTGATGCCTTTGAACATTGGAAGAAACTTGTATCTCTCATCTGTGGCGCTGATTGTGCAATATCACAACGCCGCGCGATTTTCATTGAATTTATGAAAGTATTAGAGATTCAATTGATGCATGTACCTGAAGATATACTTTGTGATATTGTAGCCAATAATAATTTTGTTTATCACAATTTGCGTAAATTGTTCGCAAATATTGAAATTAATTCTGAATTAGATGGACGCTTGAAATCTTATACAGTGAGATTTAGTGGACGATTGTCTACAAAATTTTTGTGGGATTTTTCTAATTTACAGGAAGAGACTGAAGATGAAGCACCTGTTGTTGTTTCGTTAGAATAATATTGTATATATTTCGTATAAATACATAGTTATAATATGTATAATATAAAACAAGTATAGTTTTACTTTATACTTTGTATATGAATAATATGTATAAATAATATGTATAAATAAAGATAAATAAATAAAAACTTTCTTATTTTGATAAAACCAATTTCATTTTGAATTATTTATATTAAATACATTTATATTAAGTACGTTTGAAAATATTGGAATAAAATTTCAATCAATCGCTGGTATGTATGTTAAGGAAATAATGGACAATCTAGTATGTGCTTCTTCATGGGAAAGAATTAGAGTCGCTAAAAAATAAAAAAAAATATTAATTTCTAATATTAATAGCTATAATATAATTAGTATATTAATTAATATTTAATTAACATTTACATTAGTGTATTAATTAATTAACATTTACCGGATGTGGTCGTGGTTTTGGTCGTGGCTTTGGTCGTCCGATTGGTTTTGGTCGTGGACGTGGTAGTCGTGGACGTGGTAGTCGTATACGGGGTTCTGGGTCTGGGTCAGCTTCACGACGAAGGCGCTAGATAAAAATTGATGCAAAATTTAATATAAAATATTGTATTAACAACTATTAACATTTTATTACTTACATGAGGTGGTCCTAGTGAAGGAATATGTATTGGGATGTTTTGTAGGTTACTATATTTCGGTTCTAGTTCGGCTTCACGACGAAGACGCTAAATAAAAATTGATGCAAAATTTAATATGGAATATTGTTATATTAACAATTATTAACATTTAATTACTTACAGGATGAGGT